GTAGACTTATGAGCAGCCAAGTTTTATTTGAAAATTCTCTCCTTTTGGTTCAAGAATCCCCAAAGCAGAGATTCGCAGTGAGTTAAATGGACACGCTCTACAAGGTTAAAAATCTGAAGTGAGAAAACTCACAAGAGTTCACAGCCCTTGACTGATGTAACATTTGTGGACCAAGCAGATTATCTGAGGAAACAGATTATTTAGATCGATTTCACTCAGGTTTCAGGTTGCAATTTACCATGGGGACAGCCATGGTCACACTCATACATACACATTATCTGTGGCAGAGCTGGGATGCAGGTGGTGCATCCATCCTTGCATCCCATGATCTCTCAGCAGCAGTGAATATCATCAACCATGGTATCCTTCTGCACTGTTGCAGGGGTTCAAGATAGGGCAATTTCCTTCAGGGCAGTTTCAGTCAGTGTTGGCGGATGGGGAGAGGTGATTCCCTAGGCCCCTTTCAGGGCCCTTCTGTGAATGCAACCAAAGTATCTTTCTGGATCAATTCACAGATAGACCTATCAATGGTTCTCATCCTGACAGTTGCAGAAGGACATAATGGTGGGATCCTCTCTAACATTTTAGTCGATAGATTGCAGGGTCTCCTGAGGGATCAATCCTGCCCCCCATCAACACCTTCACGACAGTGCTGGGAGAGCTTATTAAAGGATTTGATTTGTGAGGCGCCATCAACATTCAGATGACCTTTAACCCAATTTTTTCTTCTTGTGAGAGTCACAACAGTTTTGATAGGGGAGCTAAGCTAAGCATTACTGATCAGCAAACTGAACCCCCAGTTCATGTTGCTTAGAACCAGCAACATGATGCCTATAGCCCATAACAAGAGACCTCCAACTGATCTATCTTCCCTGACATTTCCTGTCCTACCTGATTTGGAGATTCAGCTGCTCTTTCAATTCTGCCAGAAAATGGAGAAGAATCTATGAATGCCGACTTTTCATTCCCTGTGAGATTAAAGTGACATAAGCAGAATTTTTAGAAACATAATTACTAAGATACAGATAAGCATTAGGCAAAAGAGGGCCCAGAGAACGAGAAAGAACTGCATTCTTCCTGAGGAACCTTCTCTTACCGGAGGAGGTGTCCTGACTTTGATCTTCATGGAAGATCCCCCTGATGAGCAGCTCCTGGGAAGGATCTGGCAGATTCCTCCTTTCCTTGGGATTTTCAGAGATTGACTTCAAGTCAGGCCTCTGGACCAGATGCAACTGGAGAAACAAAGAAGCGGATGTAAGAAGAATTACAAAAAAGAGGCACATTCTCACTCTCTGTTCAATATAAATATTTGCCTTAAGAGTTAAACTTCTCCTTTTCTTAGTATCTTCACAACCCTGTTAAGTCATAGGAGAATCCCAATATATGGTTATTCTTTGAACTCCCATTTTGAGCTTGTCAGGTGAAGGTCTCTCACCTGCATCTCTCCCTGCTCCTTCTGCTCCTCCGCCTGGCTCAGGAGGAAGCCTTCGGCCAGGGCCACCGCCTGGGAACTGGCCTCTGCTCCGCACTCCCTCACCCAGCTCTCCATTTCGGGGGGCAGGATGGCCAGGAACTGCTCCAGGATCACCAGGTCCTGCATCTGCGCCTTCGTGTTCCTTTCTGGCTGCAGCCACTGGCAGCAAAGGTGGTAGAGGCGGCTGCACATCTTCCGGGGGCCCTGGTCCCACAAGATGCAGGACAAAGCACCCATCTTCCTCCTGGTGGTTTCCCGCAGGGCATCCTGAAGGTCCTCCACCTTCCCCCACGGGGCATCCTTCAAAGAAAGGGCGTCCGCCTGCCGCCCACCCGCCTCCTCCTTCGGCAGGTGAGACCAGAAGTCAATGGCCACTGTCTTTTCTGGCACAAAATGCTCTTGCTGGGGGTCTCTTGGGGAGCTCTCCGCAGAGCCCCCTTGTGGGGCCCTGTGCCCCAGCCCTGCCTCCTG